GCCTGCCCGGGGGGGGGGGGAATGAACAGGGGAGTAAGCCGGCAGTTGGACAGACGCTCGGGCCCGGGTCTGGGGGGGCGGGGTCAATGCTACTACCAATGGATGGGCCACCATTCACGCTGGACGTGACGGCGTGCCTGTTTCCTTCCGGCCCCCCGCCCCCCCCCCCGCCGGCCCCAGTTCCCGGCCTTGGGCCCCCTGGTCTGCCGCCGCCTTTGTACCCTGCGGGCCGCGATGGAAGCGCGCGCGCGCGCGCGATGGCGGCCGCGCTCGTCCACCGCAACGCCGATGTCGTCCCCGGGTGTGCCCTGGTAAGCAGCTGGCGTTTCCAACAGTCAGCGGGGGAGGGTGTGGGCAAGTGTCCGAGTGAGCGAATGGGTGGGTCTAGAATTTCTTTGTTAAGGACGCCTCTGGCTCGGGCGGACCGGCATCATATCCGGGCTTTGGCGATATCGCTCTTCGAGGTGGCCGGGTTTGTTTGTTATCGGCTGCCGGAAGGCCGAGCGGGGGCTGCTACTTCCGGCTGGAGGTACACTAGCGACACCCACAACAATGGCGGTGGTGGTGGTGGCGACGTCGAGCGAGCTGCCGGCCGCCGGGGCAGCAGCCACAACGAGGGTCAAGGCAGTCACCCCGTCAGCAGGAGGTGCCGAGGCCGGGGCTGGGCACCAAGGGGGAGGGGGGGGGGCTGGCATGACATTCATGAAGATCCCCGTGTCGCGGTCTTCTGCCACGCTTTCGAGAGCCGCAAGCATCCGATAGAGAGCGAGAGAGAGAGAGAGAAAGAGAGAGAGAGAGAGAGAGAGAGAGAGAGAGAAAGAGAGAGCCCCTTCCTGACACCTTGCCCCGGCAGGCCCTTCTCAACAACACGCCCGACGCCGGAGCCCATGGGTTCCCCACTGGAGCAAGATCATGGCCCTTCTCTCCTTGGGCCACGCATGTGGAGGCCCAAGCCCAAGCTTCGGGGCTTGGGAGAACATCGTCATGCATTTCCTCTTGAAGTGGCAGCGCATGCAGATCGCGGGAGAAGATTCTCTCGCCCGAGGACGCCTCCTCCCTTCGCCCTGGAGCAGCACGCGTTGATAGCTCGTGTGCCTGTCCTCCTCGGGTCGGCAAACAGGCCGCCAATGGGCGGCCGGGCAACCGACCGGTCGGCACACACACATGCACCCATGCACCCATGCACCCATGCACCCATGCACACATGCACACATGCACACATGCACACATGTACACACACACACACACACACACACTCCCACTGTAGGTGACGGCGATCCCCCTCGACCTGCTTTTCGGGCCGGACCCGGCCGGATGAGATGCATCGTCACCCATGCGCAAAGACTCGATTAATTGATCAAAATTTCTCATGAAAACCATACCCAGTTGCAACACGGCTGACCGGCGGATCTGTGCAAAAACCCTCTCTGCCCCTTGCGGGGAAATGTCAGTCACTCGCCGCAGGACAAGCGCCTGGTCGGTCAGGCGCCCATACACACGGGAAGATATCCACACTCCCACCCACACTTACAGACACTCGCCAGAGACCACCCGCGCCTCGCTCTCTCTCTCTCTCTATCTCTCTCTCTCTCTCTCTCGCTCTCTGTCTGTCTCCCTGCCCCTCTGGGATCTCCTTTTCTGAAACATGGGTCCCCCGAAACCCCGGCAAAGAAGGCAGACCCCGCACGGGGCCACATTGCGTGCCCGCCCGCGGGAGGGTGAGAGGGGCGCAGACGCGAAGGGGGAGCCGCATCCCTGCTCTCCTTGGCTGTTGGCATGGTCGCGCGCGCCCTGGTCCTGCCGAACTACGAGGCACGCCCCTCGCCCGATCCCGGCCCCATCCGTGCTTTGGCTTGGGGAGAAGGCGCTCGCGACCCGGGCCAGGGGAGACGGCACCCGTGTCTAGGAATCAAGCGGGCAGCCGAGGGGGCGTGCCCCGGTCGACGGCGTGCCCGGCCGCCCAAAGGGCACCTGGCCAGTCGAAGGCCCCGCCGAGGGCCGGAATGCACTGCCCCGCCAGGGGGCCCTTCCGGCCCCTGCTCCAGAGGCACACATGGGTTGTTGGGGATATCCGGCCGTGAGGCTGATCATGGCGCGCCCAGGCTCACCGGTGTCGAGCCCGACACAGGGCGTGGTGGGGGCTTGGTGGAGGCGTGGGGTGGACCTGGGCCCGGCCTATGGGCGGACATGGGATTGGATAGGGCCCACCGGGCCGGCCGTGCGACCGTTCTCAGCGGCCGCCGGGTTTGCCGATGGTGCATGCCGTGTGCCGCGCGTAGCCCTTCCCGTCTGGGTTCCTCTCTTGCCCGAATTGCGCCAGCAGGCGCACACATGTATACTGCTGGCATCGGCGCCTGCCAGGGCGCGGCCCTCCCCCGCCCGGTTTCTCTCGCCCGCCCCCCCCCCCCCCTCCCGCTCGGCCTGACGCATACGGGGTCCGGCGGGGGCCCTCCCAGCCGGGAGGACCCTCATGCAGGCAGCGCGCCTCTTCAAGGGAGAGAACCACTTCCAGCTGTGATGGGGCAAGTTCAATACCAGGTGTCATATGGTTGTCCGGTTAACTACGAGGGCGCGCCACCGGGCGCATCGAGAACATGCGGTCTGCTTGCCCCGCCAAGCAGACACCCACACACCCACACACACGCACCAACTGGTGGGGCGCGAGGCCGGGGCCGGAGCCGACGCCCAACCGCCCGGGGCCGTCTGCCACCCGGCCGGCCGGGCACACTTGTCGTCGTCGTTGTCGTGGGCGCCCATGGCGTCGGTGCCCGGTGCCGACATGCCTCCTTTCCCTGGTGACCGGCTGGTCTAGGCGCAGCCGGCCGACGCGGAAGCATGCCCGGAGGTTGGGCCGCCCCCGGTCGGGCACCGGGCACCGGAGGGAAGCGCCGCGGCGACAGATGATTCATACCGACACGCCGGGTTGCAGCCTCGGACCAGGGAGGGAGCTGTCTATGTCGGGCTCTATGGGGCAGCACATGAGGCGGGCTCTCTGCCGTGATGAGCCATCAACTGGGGCTGACGGGCCGGGGGGGGG